TGTGTGCGTGTGTGCGAGTGTGTGTGTGTGTGTGCGCGCGTGTGTGTGCGAACAGCAGATTTCCTTCCCTCCGAAGCCTCCCTGTCCTCTCCCATATCACTCACTGCCTGGCATCTGACAGCACCGAACCTGCAGCGCTCCGCGCGCACGCACACGCCGCGCACCGCCGGGCAGCGCTCCGCCATCCGCGCGGCGCGGAGGAGGAGGAGGAGGAGAGGGAGGAGAGGGAGGAAGCAGCCCGGCAGCCCCGCAGCATTCCCAGAGCCGCCTTTCTAATATATACATATCTATTTTGTTATTTATTTATTCTCGCTCTCTGGTACTGTGGGCGCCTTTCATTTGCTCCTGAGCTTGGATGTTCGAATCAAAGCAAAGCAAGTGTTGCAACAGTTAAAAAAAAAAGAGAGAGAGAGAGAGAGAGAGAGAAAGAAACGTAGATCTCTGAAATAAAATAAAGGCAAACAGGTTCCTGTGAGCGCAGCCGGGGGGGCCGGGGCTGAGGGTGCCGGGGCCGCGGCTGAGGCGCACGAACACGGCTCCGGAGCGGCTCAGGGCTCCCGGATCTGGGGACAGAAGTGAGATTGGAGAAAGTAGAGCGATGCCAAGGAGGAAACAGCAAGCACCCAAACGGGCTGCAGGTAAGGAGAAGCCATCCCCTTACACAGCGCTGCCTCTCCGCTCCTCTCGATCCTTCCCCCCATCTTTATTATTACCGAGGGTCACCCTCGCCTTCCCGGCCCGGAGCCGGATTTATTTCTCGCCCTCCCCCTCTCTGTGCCCGGAACTCCCCGTGCCGCTCCGTGCCCGCGGCCCTGCCCGCGGCTCTGCGGCCCCGACCCCTTCCCGCCGCCCCGCGCCCGCCCCGGCCAAACTTCCCCCCAACTTTCCTCCGCTCTCTCCCCTTCTCCCCCGGCCCCTTTCCCCGCCCGGGAGCAGCCTCCACTTTGCTCCCCGCTTCAGGCTTTATTTCCTTATTATGATTATTTTATTTATTTAATTTTTTTCGGTCGTTCTTTACCCCGCGGCGGTTTTGTTTCCCAAACGCGCGTGGCGGAGCGGCTCGGGGCGCTGAGGCTCCCGTTGCGGGGCTGCGCGGCGCTGCCCGAGCGCTGCGAGTGCCTGAAACGGCGCAGGGGCTGCGGCGCTGAACCCGGCGGGGAAGTTCAGCCTTTGATCAGCGGTGGTGAAAATTGCAACAGGAAATAAAGCGAAGCGTTGTGACTGCTAGAAGACGAGCCGCATTTTCCAATCAAATTCTTCTTTTGTTTTGTATCTGAGTTGGTGTATTTGCACGCGCCAAGTGCTTTTGTGATCGTTCTTCTTTTTTTTTTTTAAATGATTATTTATTAATTTATTTATCTTAGGGGAGGAAATAGTTTGCAACTTTGGAAGCGTTCTGTTTTGTCATTTGTAGGATGTTCTTTTCCTTTGGGGGCCAAGAAAAAGAGGCAGATGAGTGGGCCCATATAGTAAATCTTCTCAAAGAGTTCTCTTCCAGGCTGCTTAATTGCTTTTTATTTTTTTTTAATAGTCTGATGGGGTTTTGTTTCTGGGAAGCGCAATATGGAAGTTCATTTTTCTTCTGCCAGACCCACCCACTGAAAAATCAGCTTTCCAGTTGATTGCCAGCTTTGATTTGACATTTGATTGATCACCTGTCATCTTGCTGCCTTTGATCTATTCATTCTTGATATATATCAATAAATCACTCACCATGGTAACCCAAGTGCCAATGACGTAAGGCTTGCCCTCTAGATTCTCTTAGCCAGACATGCACAATTATTATCTTGTTTGGCTTTTAATGTAGGCGGGTTTTTCTCCCCCTTTTTTTTTTTCTGTGGGTCCTTTGTCAGATTAGTTCTCCAAAGAAAACTAATATTTCATGTTTGCACTTTCCAAAAGGCCTATTAATTTTTCTACTCTGAATATTTTCATGTTGTCGTATTATCCATGGGATAAAATGCATGGGCAACTCTAGTGGCTCGAATAAACTTTGCAAAGTAGTGCTTGGGATACATTCGGAGGCAAATGTTCTTTTTGAGAAATTGGGAGGTGCACAACTTTGACGAACTTACGTGTTTTGCCCTATTCACATGGGTGTAGGACAATGGCATGCAGGGAGAGCCTTTGGGACATGAGCAGTGATGCACCCACGCAGGCTGCCAGCCTGGCAAGCAGCAATCCCTGCCATTGTAAATGATAGTCAAGCTCAGCACAGATATGTATTTATATATATATTCAGAAGAACTCTCTGACGAGTTGCTATTATTGTTTTATTCACAAAGAGGTTATATCTGAATAAGGCATTAACGTGTTCAACTTGCAGGATAAATAGCTATTTTTTCATGGATGCTGATCATCACAGTGACAGTGCTAGAATTGCTCCTTTTTTCTTTCTGTCAGGAGTACGAGGCTTCATTTTATTTTATTCTCAAAGTAGAATCTTCGCTTGCAATGTGTGTAGTATCTTCCTGTAGCAGGGGCATCCTGTTCTTTTTTAGAAACATAGGCTGCAGAATAAGTAAATTCTTGTGAGCAAAGCCCATCCTGTTGTTTCCCAGGATTTCCCCGCTGAGAATACAGCAAGGAATATTCCTATCCAGAACATTACAGTATGTTGCCAGCCATAGTGAGGAGGTAGAAATCCGCATGGCCACAGCTGTGTCTCTCCGTCTTTATTCCCATTTTGAAGCGTGCCTTGGTCTTCCACAGTGCATGCCTGTGATTCTGTTTGTCCTCAGAGCAATGTTGTTTCAGGTGAGCAAAGCGCTGCAAAAGCAGTCCGGTTTCATTCAGCATAACTGATTTGAAGTCGGTTTGTGCATTTGCAATAGTTCTCCTGCTTTGAAGTTGTGTTTGTGTGTTTGTGGGGGGCGGGGGGGCTTCCAAAGTGCAGACATGCCTCTTGTGTGTAGTTCTTAAAACTGACTTTCATTTTCAGGATAGCACTGAGGTTCTGTTTTGCAGATTGCGAAGTACCTCAAAGTGACAGTAGACAGACTGTGCAATAAGAAACGAATCTCTCATCAAGGCTGATAGCAAATCTCTTTATTCCTTTTATTTAGAGGAGTTAATACATTATATATTACTTAATTTTCGCTCTATTTATTTTCTCTTGTACAAGTTCAAATGTATCAGTTGCACTGCATTTTGTCTTGATGGCAGCAGAGATATTGAAGAGAAGTTTGCAACTTTTGGCTCCCTTAGATAGTTCACCTCCACCGGAAGAAAAATGATAAGCCTTATGATTCTGGACGTGCCTGCTTTTGTCATTGCTTAAAATTAAATACTATGCACAACTGTAAATAATTACTACCATGCACTGACTTTGAAAGCAGGTTTCTAGTTTGATTAATGAATAATGTAAAGGTTAGAGAGAACCAGCGAGTGAATCAGAAGTGAAGTCCTGCTGCTAGATGAAAATCTATCTAGAGAAATATACATGGCAATTTTGTCCTGTTCTATTATTAATGTTAAGCCTTGTATTCCTAAGAAATATATTACAGAGCATTGTGATGAAACAAGGTAGCGTAATTGGATAAACGGGGCCCTATTTATGTTTGACGATGGGGATTTTTGATCTCAAATTATACTTTTAGAGATAACTCATCGCACAGCAATGCCAGAATTACGTTGAATGCATTTTGATCTTTCCAGGGCCGAATCTGCTCTGAGCCGTCCCTCTTTTTATCGTCATCTCCATTTCAGTAGTTCTTAAAGCAGGTTTTTGGAGCTCGTTGTGCCTGTGGCTGCGTTAGTATCATACTTCTGTGTACAGTAAGGCCCTGTTTGTGCTGTCGCCTTCCTCCAAACGACTCACAAGGGCTGTGCAGACTGCGGGCCCAGTTGTTCTCCTGCTCAGGTACAGAGCAGAAATAGCTTTGCTCGCATCAGTGCGGCTGCGATGAGCGCTGTCTGCCCCTGGGAGTACGAGGAGACCCAGGCCCGGAAAGCGCTTCGTCCTTCCGCACAACGCAGCACCTCTGGGGCAGAACTCTTGTAACGATTCCATAACAAATGGTAATATATTAACAGAAGGGTGGAAAAAAGGTGGGAGCAAAGCAAAATTGCTATTCAGATTTTATTCCTAGGGGTATGAAATAGCTTTCAAACACAATTTCACTGGATTAAACTCTACTTTCCCCTGCAGCCTGTTTAAATGTGCATATTTTATTTTGTGATCATGAATTGCTAGTTTGCTTTTTTAAAGCCTAAAAGACGAATCCAGACTTAACGCCTTTTCTGAGTGCAATTTCGTCTTCTTTTCTTTCTCTCCCAGCTCCATTAGGCTATCTAGGAACCAAAGCCCTTGAAAAGTACAGCAGGAACAGATAGCAGCCGCATTCATTTTGTTTATTGGTGCAGTAGAATAAGCCAGTCTTGTTTTGGAGAAGACCCCAGATAGTGGCAAACAGAAGATGGGTAGCAGTCAGTACATTGGAGCTGCAGTCTGCACTTCAGTAGTAAAGGTTATTTAAAACAGAAACGTATTTAGAAAGCGAAATTCTGCTTCTTTAGAGAGCAAAGTAGGTGGCCAGCTAGGTCTGCCGTGTGCATTTCTGTGATGAAAGGAAGCAGTACGTACATGTATTAATAACTGAGAGCGTTGTGGCTTTTCAGGCATTATCTGTATCCTTTATTATACGGGAATAGAAATAGTTTCCACGCAGGCAGCACTGAATGAAACTGTAGAAATGGCAGCAGTGCTTTGTTTAAGCATCCTCCAGAAAAGCAAGTCCGCATCAAAACCACCTAAAATAGCTCATGCCCCAGAACCTTTCGGTTACTGTGCACATCGCCATGCTGAGAGATGACAAAAAAGCCAAGGTGTTCACAAACAAGAGAAGGCTTTAAAACTTGGTTAATTAAATATGTACCAAAATAGGCACTTTTGAAAGTGAAGAGCCACCAAAATTAGTCGCCATCTGCACTGAAGTCTGGACTCAGGCTGCTAAGCCGAAACCCACAGTGTGATTCTCCCATGTCAGAACTCAGGCCCGAATGGGACAATTTGCAGTCGTGTTCAATTCAGCTGTTTCCTTATTTCAGTTTGAATCTCGTGTCTCGAAGCACAGTGTATTATCACTATATAAAGACTGGGACTTACCAGGAGTTTCCATCAGTAAATGACAGAATCTTACAGCACTTTTACAAATACGCTCATTGTTAGAAATTCTGTTCAGCAAATGCTCTCCCTCCTCTGTGCTCTCTACTCGAAAAGCCCGTTTTCTTCAGGCTGCAGGATTTTGCCATTTCCTCCCAGAGCTTTCTCCCCTGCATTTCTCTCCCATCAGCAGCACCCACCTGCAGCAACTGTTTCCCCTAGAAGAGGTCCCTGGAGCTCCTGCACGGCCCGGTGCCGGGGTGAGCCGTTCCCATTTCCCTCCACGTCCCGATGAGGACATCACTCCCAGAGAGCAACTCCAGACTCACGGGGGGAAAAAAAAAAGCTGTCAGTTGCTGTGGCTGCAGTTCCCAACTTAGCAGCAGCAGAGGGAATGGAACCGTACTCTATCAATTACAGTTGGAACCAGAGGCTAAACACTTATTGTGTTAAGCTATTGTGCAGATCTTAAGAGCTCAAACATAAGAAAAAAATACCATGTCAGCTCATGGAGGGGAGAATAAGGCCTGGTTC